ATCTCATTTCTTAGGTTGATTCCTTTAGCCCTACTTTCGTAGCTGATGTAGAGCAGTCACCCCTTTCTTTGGGTAATACCCTTTGTGACTACCCATATCTTTGGCATCTTTCAAGATGTTATAAGTACTTTCCTCATTCTTCTTTAGGTAATCTCACGTAGAATAGTAAGACCTAAGCGCATCCTCGAGCATTCCTTTATGCCTATTCCATTTAAGGAGAGACACCAAACTCCATGTCAGCCTGTAAACATCACTTTCTGATTTGTCACTCTACGCCTCATGAGTAACTCTTGTATGATATACCCTTTGTTAGTGTTGTCACTCCCCCAAAGGCGTCCTTAAGAATCACACTTAGGATGCAATTAACAATAAGTCTAACACCTATGGAAATCTCAATCCCCTGTAACTAAATAAACCATATTCTTTTATTTCTAGAATATTTCAGAATCAAATATTTATTGACTCTCACAATAGGATCATCTTCCACTCCCCCTACCTCCCCATAAAATTAAGTTAAATGTTGCAAAGATGTGGATGCTCAGGTGGGTGAGTGACTTTATACTTAGAGATAGAGTGCAAAACATATATACGTGAAAAAAACAAGTATATATGTGAAAAGGTTGGAGTAACTTCATTGGCAGATAAGGTCATAGAGAGTTGCCTTAGAAGATTTGGTCATATAAAATATAGGCCTTCAATTCTGCCGCTCTCCAAAACGGTACCGCCGCCGTCGACGCCATCGTCGCCTTGACTTTCCTTTCTCGCTCGCTCGCTGCTCGATCTACTTTCCTTCCTGGACAGCCGGACTGTTAGAAATTTTGCAGCATTAGCGAATATTCCAGGTCATTTGAGTAATTGATCATCTGCTCTAAAGGCTAAACACAACTCTCCTTGGCCTATTGGTTATTGGTTGGGAGCTTAGGCTTCCAACTAAGAGGTCTAGGTTTCGAGTCAATGTGTATGCGTTGTGAGTATGAGTTTGCCTTAAATGACCTAAATGTCCCAAAAAAAAAAACTCTAAAGACTAAGATTCATATAATATAAGTTTTAATATAATCAATTAATCATCACTCATTCCAACATTAATTGACCCAAGTCAAAATAAGAAGAAAATGCAAAAACAACTATATATTTATAAATTAATAAGATTTGAACACTAAAGTTTTATTTGGGTCAGCTTTTTTATTGTTTCTTAAAAAGTAGTTTTATACAAGAAATTAAATTTTTCATACTAAAGCTCTATTTTAAGAAGCAAAAAAAAAAAAGTCATCCCAAACAAAGTTTAAATTCAACGCTTGATCATTATTTAAACATGATTCATAGTCTTTACTTTTGATGTGTTTTATTTTATTTTCAATTTTTTCAAGTTTACCTCTATGGGGAGTGTTTTCTTATTGTAGCCTTAAGGGAATTTGTGTACTTCGCTTTTATTTATGTTGGAGGCCTATATATAGTGGCCTTATACTTTGTAAAAGGATGAATATTTGAATGAAAATTTTATTTTTTTCTTCTTCATCTTGTGTGTGCACTAGAGAGAAGGGACAGAGAGCTCAATGTGAGCAAGCGCAATACCCACCAGTCATTGAAAGAGTATGTGGCTCGTGGTTTATCTCTTTTTTCCCCTTTCTTCCTTCCTCCACCCACCGACCCCTAGCTTCCTCCCAAGCCGCCAGCCACATACCTCTCTACCCAATCCACCGGCCACCTTCACGCCATCCTCAAATCCTTTGACGCTAAACCCTTACCCATCCCCACCGCCGGCCAAGAACTCCTAACCACCGGCCGAAACCCTTTCTTCAAACCCCCACCACCGGCCCACCCATTAAACCCTTCCATTATGATAATTTTAATCATCATAACTCCCTTCCTAAATTAGCTCCAAGAGAAAAGGAAAATAATTATCTCAATTTGAAATTTGAAATTTGAAATTCAAATTTCAAAAATTTTCCTTATTTGCAAGTCTTAATTGGGAAGGTGCATAAATTCAAGTCTATTTAGAATTCAAATTAAATTGGATTTCATGATATCATTCCTAATTCTCATGTGTTGTTTTGGAAACTCATAAAACTCTCCCCACAACTCCCTCCCTCCTCTCAATGTCGCCGGCCCCCATTGGCGGCTTCCCCATTAATTCCCATTAAAGCTCCCAATCCCACTTTAATTTGAATTCAAAATTCAAATTAAATCTAGCTAAATCCACTTAAAAATCTGAAATTAATTTCAGATTTTGATTAAATTTCCTCTCCCCTTTTCTAACCTAATCCAAGCCCTCACCCAAACCGCCCCTCCCCCTTCTCCCCACTTTGGCCGCCCCTTTCCCTTGCATTCCCCTTTCTTGGGAAACCCTAGTTTGCTCATGAGACTTGAAGCCAAGAGAAGAAGGCGTCCTCCTCTCCCAACCTCATCGTCATTGGTGCATGGCAGATCCTGAGGTCAATCATGGCCTCGTTTACAACACCCTAGCGGAAATCGACATTCTCCGCTCCCCTTTCTACGAGCCTGGCTGGGAGTACGACGAATATGTGGAAGACTACGTCAATCGCGTCCTCTACTATTTAGTGGGGACGATTGATCTTCAAAAACCCAAGATGCCTTGGCTCATCATCGGTCACCCGCCGCCTCCTCCACCGTCTGCTACTTCTCCATAAACAAAGGTCTTCAGCGCCATCTTTTCAGTGGTAATCTCCTTCCTTATAGGGTTCATCTTTCTAAAGCCTAAGAGTGGAAGAGTGAGAAGGTGCTCAAGGTGTACTTCTCGTTATTAAGTGGTTGGTTTTGTTATGAGCATGTAAAATTTACTATCGTTTTGGATTTTTAATTAAATTGTTTGGCTAATCTCAATAGCACTTCTTTGTCTAAGCAAGTTAAAAATCTTGAATTCCGAAATCTCTCTTTATTGCAAGCAATAATTCTATATTGGCAAGTTTTGGTCAATTAATCTTTATAATTTCTCAAGTAACTCCTACATGTTTCACATCAGTAAGTCATAGACGAAAACAACACTAATTGGGGGAAAATACAAGTTGTTAATTCTAAAAACATGACACACTTCTCTTTGATTTCAAAATTTTTGAAAGAACCAATGCCTCCGAAGTCATACAAACTTCTCTATGATTCCAAAATTTTTGAAGGAACTAATTCCTCCAAGGTCTTATGCATTTCTCAAGTCTCCCCTGCTAGATGCACATAATGAGATATTCGACCAAATTTAGTACCTCGATGCTTTTGAATTTGACAGTGTTGTTTATTGTATCTTAAATTATGAAGTTTATAATATGAATTATATACACAAGAAGAAAACTCGGAGATGGCATTATTGGTTGCCTCTTGAGAATTATATAATCATTCAAGGATTTTCTCTTCCAATTTCCTCTTGAGACAACTCAAACTCTTTTCTACATCAAGCTTAAATGAATAACAATTTCTAGTACTCTATTGAAGAAAGTTTTATTATTAGAGAATTTAGGAATTATAATTTTTACATGGCAATGGATGCCAAAAATTAAAAGTATATATATATTTTTTACCTCAATATAACTTTATGACTAATTTCTAAAAAACAATGGCCAATATCAACATATAATGTCTAGATCTTTTTTTTTTAGAACATTTGGGATAATTAAGGTCACACATATCAAATATGGAAGACTTGAACTCAAAACTTCTTGGTTGGTATCCAAAGCTCGCAACCAAGAGTCTAAGGTGAGTTGCGTTGATATGTCTAGTTGTGTTTGAAGAGATTTTGATTACACAATCAATATATTGTGCAAGTATGAGCACTTCACTAGAAAGATTCTAAGTCATTAAAAAAAAAAATTGAGAACAAGGATGAATACATGATTTTTTTTGAATTAAAATTAAACAAAAGCTACTATACCTATATAAGAATAAGGATAAAAATGTGGCAAAGTCAAACAAACTAAGGTGAATCGAAAAGAATTTAAAATTTTAGGTTTTCATGAATGATAAGTTTTTATTGAAATATCTTAAATACGGTGAAGATAAGCATTTTGTTCTTCAAGAAAAAAAGGTGCGTAGCAATAGAAAGAAATGAAGATATTATATGAAAATAGAATTCCTTGTATTCTCATTTGATTGGAGAATGTAAGAAAGGATTTTGGAGCAGGGAGAAGTCAAAGATTTTGAAAGAAGAATTTTTTTCTTTGATCTGCCTTTTTCATTGCTTCGCACCTCAGAAAAACAACCCAATCAAATCTGAAGTCTATCCAGTTCAAATGATATCTCAAATTATGATCGATAATCGACCGAGTTCTAATGCATTTAGATCGATATATATCACCTTAAATATCAACAAAGTATAAAGATATACGTTTCATTTGAGGGCAACTTTCTTATTGTTCTAAAACAGTTTTTTAGTACAAAAATTTTTAAACTAATTTTTATACTAAAAAATTGCTTTAGAAAACAATAAAAAAAAACCATTCCAAACAAAACCTTAATCAACAAATAATCATCCTTCTCGCTCAAAATCTAGGTAAGCATAAACTTAAATACTAACCATTAGATAATTGTATAAATTGAAAATTTCTCCTTATGCCATTTCTCTTCATGTTCAGCTCATCAAATTATGATTCATGAATCAAAAGAATATTTTTTTATTGCATTTTAAGAAAAATTCAATTACGTTTGCGTTTATATTTCCCTCAATTCCTTAAAACGAAACAAAGCATATATTCAACGGAAGCAGCTCCAGTTCCAATGCCTTCTAAGAAAACAAAAGTTTTATAGACACTATCAATGAACTCCAAAAGCCCATGAGACAGATTGCAAAGAGAGCCCTGCCTATATATATTTGGAAGCTTTCTGTAAGGCAAATGAGAATTAATTGTAGCACTCTATTTAGTTCAAAAAACAAAGCTGCTAAATCCTCGGTGTTGAAGTAGAGGAAATCTGAAGGGTTCAGTGCACGATACAAAAATTGCTTCCATTATTGCTATCCATTTTACAGTAAAAAAAAACCGAAGTAAAGGAAGGCCTACCAAAAACTAATTGGTATTGGAGCCAATGACCCTCTTGGCAAAAGATGGCAAGCAAAATGCAGCAGAATGGATCTGCCAAAAGAGAGTACAGTTTGTTCAACAGAATAGAGCAGAAGAACACTGAGGCTTCATTTGGAACGACTTTCTTGCTGCTTCTTAAAGCGACTTTTTAGGACAAAATTTTTAATTTTTGTACTAAAAAGCCGTTTTAAGAAGCAGGAAGAAAGCCGTCCCAAACAAAGCTTGAAAAAGGAGTGCAAAGATATAGATGCAAACCTCTGGGTTGTAGAATTTCAGGGGACCTTTGGATTTGTTCAAATCATCACTTTCATCAATCTTATGAACTGGGTGCTGGAAATCAACCTGTGGTCCCTCCGTTGAGCAAAGCATGAAGCCAATAACTCCACTGCATCAATCAAAAGGGAATCAAATATTGATTTAGTGAAGAATGTTAATAGCAGGTTGTGAATGATTGATTCAGGCTTTATTTGGGATGACTTTTTTATTACTTCTGGTATAAAAACTCCGTTTTGAGAAGCAATAAAAAAGTTGTTCCAAACGAAGCCTCAATCTAAATCCCATATGAAGTCATCTCAAGATCATCAACTCAAAGCTACTTAATTTGATCCCAATTAAGCCCGACATATTTGCTCAATTTGAGTCGAGCCAGATGTATTTGCTCAATTTGACTCTTGTTCAGCTCATTTCTTTCAAATTTTAATTCAATCCAAGCCAAAATTAATGATTTAAATTGATTAGATAAACATAAACATTTATGTAAATTCGAAAATGCAAATATGAATAAATATAACTGTAAGTGTATATGCAAGATAGCTTTGATTCAATGTAGATCCAACTAAATTCAAGTTCGAACAAAGCTGGGCAAATTGATTTTGATTTAAGTTTGATCCAAGCCAAAGATCGATAAACTTTTTTAGCAATTTTCAATCACTTCACCTTGGGTATGTTGGTACTGTTGTCCATGCATAGTTCACAGAGCCTTTAAAAACTTGCCGGCAATTCGATACGATGGCTTCAATTATGTGCATATGCAGCCATATGCTCTCAGCTTGCGTGCAAACAACACCACCTGGACGGAGAGCTCGAGCAACTGATTCGAAGAAGGGTTTCTCGAAAAGTTCCTGAGCTGGACCTGTAAAGTTGAAAGACGTGAAAAGATTTCTTAGGAAATTACATACAGGATGCCTCTAAATATATACCTATTGGGTCAGAAGAATCAACAATAACTGCATCATATGTGCCTTCAGGAGCATTCTTTAGAAATGCAACACCTGCAAGTAGACAAGAAATTAGCTAAATTGAAAAATGAGCATTTCAATTCATCAGATCAGCACATTGTTTGTACAAATAAATAATCTCCTGATACGAAATGGAAAAGGTAGGGAGAAAGGAAAGAAGAAAAGAGGACCTACCATCACCAATATGCAAATTCACACGCGGATCCTCAAAACCAACAGCCAAGTTGGGGAAGAACTGCTTAGAGACCTAAGTTAAAAACAGATGAGTTGATGAGTAAAATAACTGAAATGTCTTCTGAAGTCCAAAAAACTAGAACTTCAGGGTATGGATAGTTTTAGGCTTCGGTTGGCAGTTATCTCTGCTATCAAATCATGCTTTCCACGACTTGAAAATTATTTTATTGTACTACGTAGCAAAAGGTTAAGAAAACAATAACTAAGTCGAGATTTCAGGGCTGGATTAGCTTTCTAGAAATATGATTTTTGTGTTTCAGCTTTCTCGTATTGTTTAGGAAGGAAATGCCACAAAATAGCTCATTCATTGAAGTTTAGCAACAAATTAGAAAGTTAACTGAAAAATTAAACATAAATCACGCTAATTAATTAAAAAATTATTAATTTGGGAATCAAAGCATTCTTTTCATTAAGCTAGTTAGAGGGAAAAAAATAGGCCAATTTTATTAGTTTAAGATCGGAAAAATGATTTACATTACATAATAGCAGAACGGTAAATTAATAGCATAATCAAACTAATTAAAATTAATTAGAATAAAAATGACCAATTAATACCACTTAATCATCCATTAATAATTAAAAAATTCTAAATAAACAGGAGTATCAAAGGTTGAGATATTAAATTAGCCTAATTAATTAGGCTGATTTGAGATCATTTAGGTTAAGAAACTATTAGGATAATAAAACCATTATAAGCTACGGTATACCGAAACTTCTTTTCAATGAGGTAAGCAGTATCCGACATGTATCGGATACGACAAGCATCCGACACCCCTTCAATACGATCGGACACGTCAAAGATGTGTTTGATTAAACAAATATTAAAAATAAATTGGAGACACGTGTCCGATATGTGTCTTAAATATTTTATGAAAAAAATTTAATATAATTTCTTATATTTCAAATTTTTGTTTATTAAATAATAAAAAATAAATTTTTTATTTCCTCTCAGCAACCCCAAATCAATTGCACATACTCAATATCTCATTCTCCAAACATACCATTTCCATATAGCATGCCGTAGCTAGGGTTTCACAACCACGCCCGATGTCATCACAATATCGAGGTCTGATGTCATCACAACAACAATATTTTAAAACCATCTAGAAATCAAAGTTTGACGCTAGCAGTTTCTACCCCCACAATCACGTCCTGCGTCTCCTCAACATCTCATCTTTGACCAAGATCATCTCAACATTTTTTTTTTTTAGATCATCTCAACATAGATGACTAATGTTTGTCTCGACATCGATGCTTGATGCCCGACTCTTAACAGCATTGTCATCTCCTCTCTCAATGCTTGAAATACGACATCGACGCTCAATTCTAAACATCTTAATATTAATTATTTTAAGCACAAATCCTAGTAAAGTAATTTATTATTTTTTAATTATTCTTAATATTCGGCTTACTCAATTTTATACACTATTCTAAAGTTATAAAAATTATAATATAGTGTCCAACCCATGTTAGTGTCCTATTTTTAATGATTGATGTGTCCCATGTCCTTGTTTGTACATCATAGATTATAAGCATTAAGATATTAGTTAATTGAATTGATTTTATTTAATCAAGTTTGATTTATCTAGTGGTGAGATTGTAATAATAGGTGATAAAGTTATAAAAAAGTGATGTTTTAGATATCTTGGGTCTATTATACAAAGCAATGGTGAAATAGATAAGGATATTATTAGTAGAATTCAAGTAAGATGGTTATATTGGAGGAATGCATTGGCCTTGATGTATGATAAAAAAACATCCCGCAAACTTAAGGGAAAATTTTATAAGTTGGTGTTGAGGCTTACTATTCATTATGGCGTTGAATATATGGCATATAAGAGAAGCATAAAATTAGGTTAAGTGCTGCAAAGATGAGGATGCTCAGGTGGATGAGTGGCTTTACACGTACAAGCAGAATGCCAATAGAGTATATAAGTGACAAGATTGGAATAGCTCTAAAAGCAAATAAGATTATAGAGAATCGCCTTAGATGATTTGGTCACATAAAATGTCAGCCTTCTGATGACCCTATTAAGAAAGTAGATATATTAGATCCAACTTAATGTTAAAAGGTAGAGGTGGACCAAAGAAACTTGGTTAAAAAGTATTAAAAATGACTTTTTATTAGATTTGAATAAGAATTTGACTCTTAATAGGGCACAATAAAGAAAAAAATATTTCTGTAGTTGACCCTACGTAGTGGGATAAATGCTTGTTATTATCAAATTAGCAAATTAATCACAGTTAATTTGGTTAATTAGTTACTGATTAATTATTAAAAAAAACTGTTAGATCCAAAATTATGTGGGGTGACTCCATTATCTCACCACAAAAATAGATCAAGCTCAAAAAAGGGAGAAAAGGAAAAAGATTTGAGCATTTGGCAAAGAATTTTATAGACTCAACCTAATAAAACTTTAGCTAAAAGTACTGTGATTTCATGCTAACACCCAATCTTTCATCCCCTATTTATAGGTGTGGACAAGGTAAGGGTATATAAAGAGTTACATAGTAAAATATTAAAAGTTAAATAAGAAAGACTCAGTATAATAAGCAGGCAAATCATAGTTTAGTTATCTAATAAGTAGAAAATCTAGGCTAATAGCCTTCCGTAAGAAATGTTCCCATGATGAGTTTTGATAAGATATCTGATGAGGACATTAGTAGAAGATTCTAGCACGTCTATCACAGGAGACATCGCAGATCAACAGCTACGATCAGGAACATCTATTTATGAGTTATTTTATGTTATTGTATTAGTATTATTTTCATTATTTGTTTTAGTTGACCTTTGTACCCCTATGAGGGAGTTTAGTGAGTTGTAGCTTGGAGGGCATATTTGTCTTTGAGTTTTCTTCGTTGTTGAGGCCTACATATAGCGGTCCTAGTCTTTGTATTGGTTTTTAATGATTGCTTAATAAAATTTCAGAATTTCTTTCTCTCGAGCTTGTGAGTTCTTGGGTGGTGAAGTCCCAAGTGTGGGCAAAGCAATACCCACCAGTCGCGGAGGTGCTCCGGGCTCGTGGTCCTACTTCTCCCTTGCTTCAAGCTATCGGCCATACCCACCCCTATGTGCCAAGCAGCAGGCCATCCCTTTCCCGAGCTCCAACCGCCGGCCAACAACCTACCTCCTCTCCCCCTCACCCGCCGGCCCCTCTCCCTTCTCCCACCACAGTGCCGGCCTACCCATCCCAAACCCGACGCTCTCCCTGAGATCCACCCGCCGGTCACCATCCGCCTCCCCTTCCCCTCACCCATCGGTCCCTCTCCCTTCTCCCACCACAGTGCCGGCCTACCCTCCCAAACCCAACCCGAATCCTAGCCGCCGACCCCCTCTTTAGATCCCTTGATGATGAATTCAATCATCATTATTGCTTGCTTAAATTAGCTAAGTTGATTTTGGAAAGACTTTAATTTCCCTCCTCCCCCATACATGTCGTCGGCCTCTCCCTTAACCCAATTTTAGAATTTGAGTTGAATTCTAATTTCCCTCCACCTCCATTAATTAGTTTAATTAACTACCTTCCTTGGTAATTAAAAGAACCCAAGCCCTCCTAACCTAGCCGCCCCCTCCTCCACCCGAAAACCCCAACCCCTCCTAGCCCTAACCATTCCCTCCTCCATCCAAGCCCCCCAATCAGCCGCCCCTCCTCCCTCCTCCCTTCGCTCACCACCGGCTCCTCCAAGGTTCACAACAAAGAATACTCTCATGGCATTGTTTGGAAACTCGAGGTGAAAGCTCTTGATATTAACCTGTCGATTATTATTACAATACATCTAGCGTTATTTTATTTTTTGATATTGTTTTAAATTGATCTGTTCTCCTAAAAATGTAACTGCATGCCAGAGTAAAGCCTCAACAGATAATTCTTAAAATTATTTCCTATGATTCATTAATCTTAAGGTAGCGATCTTACAATAATTTTATTACTTCCTTACAATTCCTATTTATTTCACATCAATATCCATACAAATTTTGCTATCAAGAACCCATTAGTTGGTTTTAGCGAGTGCACTTGGATGAGTAACTGAGATCATCTAATGAATACCTTGAGAGAGTGCATTTTTATGGTGAATTTTTATGGCCAACACCTAGGCGAGTTAACCAAATCTACTTCTAGGAGATTTGAGATCCACGGATAAGTTCACGCTATGATATGACTAGATTAATCTAATCCAAACTAATACGGATGTACAATCAATTCTTGAATTCCTATAACAACCCAATTCGACCGAGGTATCCACATTTACTCCTAAATATTAACTAGTCAAATGTATGTTTATCGACATGCGGTGATCACGCCATCAATTCAAATCAATAAATACAAAGATTTTATTACATTATAAATGTTTTTTATTTATTGTCTTTCAATCTTTAATTTTTCTTGCAATTTTTTAGTTATTCGCAAGAATGAAAAAAAGATTGATTGTTTTTTTAAGTGTAGAAATCTCTACTAGATTGATAAGAAATCCCAAGAATCTAGGGCACGCAAAGAGTCAATGGGGGAATCTTCATGTGCAATACATCATCCAGTGAGGAAAGTAAGAATAACTGAACAAAACAGGTGGGCAAATGGGCTCCTCCACCAAACAAGTTTTCCTATGAGATTCCTAAGTTATGCGTGACAATCACAGATTGACAAGCCATCACAAAAAAAAAAAGTGTTCCCTAGATGGACACAAAGCGACTATTGTAAGTTTCAATGCATCAAATGCACCCGGTGGAAAATCTTCTACGTTTTTTTCCCAACGATAGAAATAACAATCCAATCTTCCTTAAAGGAGAAACAAGTGGCAATTTTAAAACTTAAAGAATTTACCTAGCAGCTTTGGTTAAATAAGTTTCTCGTTGGGGTAGGAATCGAGACTCTTAAAGCTGCTTAGTGGTTCCCGAAAGTTTTTTTTCTTTCATAAGTTAATTAAGAAAAGTCAACTAGTGTTAACAAAAAAGTTCCATGGATGGTGAGACAACGTTACTAAGGAGGAAGAAGATAAAGAAGTGGCAGGTAATTTTGCTATTGTAGTCGATAAGGATGTTGTTGAAAGAAGCTTTTTGGTAAATTTAACTGATTTTATTGGAGAATTCCAATCTTTTCGTTATGGTTGTCAGGGAGAAGAATTTTACCACACCAGTACATTCTGGTGATAATCAGACTCCACTGAACAGGAAGGTTCTAAGGCATCCAATCATATCGCGAGGTTGCGAAATGAACATCCAAGGATCATACTCCTAATAGTCAAAGAATTACTAATTAAAGGAGACCACAAAATTCTGAGCTAAGATGGCTTTATATCTAAAGATGATCAAATGAATACTACAACAACAACAACAAGTCTTTACCCCACTACATGGGGTCGGCTATATGAATCTTTTTTTTACCATTGTCTTATTAAGATTCAAAATATCATTTAAATTTAATTAAAAAAATCATTTATAATACTTTATAACCAAGTCTTTTTAAGTCTAACTCTACATTTCTTAACATATGTCAAATTTAATATATCTACTCTCCTAACAGGGTCATTGGAAGGTCGACGTTTAATGTGACCAAACCATCTAAGAAGACTCTTTAATCTTATCTTCCATTGGAGCTACTCCGACCTTTTCACGTATATACTTGTTGAGAAAGGCTATGAAGCTAGCTCAGTTAGTGGAGGATCAGAGGCGTCTGGAGAGAGCGACTAGAGGAAGCAGCTCATGAGGTTTGTAAAGGAAGACCACCACCTTCTTGGCACCCAATTAGTCAACATTGGGAACTTTTCGGAAGACCCCAAAGGAGAAGACTGAAGAAGGAAAATTTGAGGAGAACTTCAAGAAGCTCACAAAAATGGAGTTATAGGAGAAGAGGTCGAAGGAGTTCTATTTTATATGTGATTAGAGGTATACACCGGGGCCCCAATGTTAGGACTGATCGCTTCATGTTCTCACCATTTGTGATGACGAGGAAATTGAGGAATGAGTCGTCTGTCCACCTTGCGAACAAGGTGGGTCTTTGAGAGGAGCGTATTGTTAGATGATCTTTATTGAGTCGGTACCTCTTGGACCGGCCAAAGGGCTAAGGAGCATAAGCTCCTTCCGCTCAAACAAGAGAACGCCTATTCCACTCATACAGGTGGGAGTTCCACCCAGTAGCTCTCGAACCCTCTATAAGTGGGGTCAAGCTGTAATTAAAGAAGGAATTTAGGGGGGGTGATTAAGAGAGAAATTCAATTTAAGAGGGCTGTTTTGGATATTTTGCTTATTTTGTATTTTTAAATAGTATTGTGATGTAGGGTTAGGTTATCATGTATTTTGCTTAAATTTGGGGAGTTCCTAGGTTTTGTTTGAGCTCTAGCCGTCGATTAGAGATTGGGAGAGCCGGATTCTGCTCTCCAATTGAAGATTCATTGTATCTTGTTTGTTTTCTTCCGTTTTTTATCAATTAAAAGGTTTATTTCTTATTATTTCTTCCAAATTCTTCTTCAATATGTTGTTGCAAGAGCTGAAATTCAAATTTAGCATGGGAAATTTTTGTTTCCTATAAGCATTTTCAATCAAATTCCTATTCAATAGCGACTTAAAAATGCCTTTGGAAGCAAACTGAAATACATTTATCTAATTTCCTTATTAAGCATTTGAGCTTCCGCAATTTTTGGTACTTCCAAACTTTTACTTCTTTTACAATAAGTCAAGCAACAATAGATAGTCAAAACAACTCTCGCTCAAAATTCCTTAGTTGTACTTTTATAGGATCTCATCACACCAAGGAACATTGAGTTTTAGGGATTGACTTGCCTACATCATGGGGTTCTTTCTTGATAATTTTGATGCGCTGAATACTTCAACGCTGTCAATTTTGCAAAATGGACAACTTCCAAGTCATTTTGATGCAAGCGGGTAATCTTGAGATGATTTTGTATGACATACGCCCTTCATCCATCATTTTTTATGTGTTCGATCGAAATGAAAATTAAAAAAAGGCTTGGAGATCAACAATCATTGCATTTTAGTATTTTCTTTAACAAGAACTAAGCAACTGCCATCTTGCCCATGTCAATATAAAGCAGCAATTGCCATCGAGTTGTGGGCTCTTGAAAAGAAGTGACAAGAAGAGGAGCAATTTTAAATGTTTGGATTCGTAACCGCACTCAACAATCCAATTAAACTACTTGGCATTCCAAAGAATTTTGAAAAGGGTGAGCACTTGCCAGTAGACAACGAGATGAAATAGTAAAGGCCTATGAACCACATGATAAGTTGTTGAAATTCTTTGAGGCTACATCTCCAAGATTTTTTTGACTTTGTCCAGATTCAATTCAATGCCATTAGGTGTGAGTAAAGCACAAAAGCTTCCTAAATCTGCAAAAGTACACTTCAAAATATTCAAACTCATATTATATTTTCTTTAAGTGGTAAAAGTTTCCTGAAGATCTAATATATGTTGTGGCAAGGCTTTGGCCTTTATCATCAACTCGCACTCAAATATGTCAACCCTTCTTATCCTTTGAATGCATAGATCATTATGTCTTGATAAGCACCCCACCCAATTTTGAGTGCAAACAACATGACATTATAGCATTACAAAATGTCACTACTAATAAAATATAAACACAAAATATAGCACCATATAGTAGGAATTAATGTGGAATGATTCAAAAGTTACAGCAAAATTAATGTGGAAATATACCAATAAAACGGGTAAGCAAAATTAATGTGGAAGGATTCAAAAGGAAAAAAAAGGTACACCTAAAGTAATATGGATAAAAGTTTTTTTTATTTGTTTATTTTTTATGTTTATAGATAAAAGTTATTTAAAATGATTGGTGAAGAATAGGTTTAAAACCTCAGGTAATACTCAATAGAAATATATAGAAAATGAGTATTCCTAAAGCCAACTCCAAATATTTGGGATAAGGCTAGTAATGATGTGATGATGTACACCTTTTAGTGCGTATTCCACAAACTTGAGCAAAAGTTGAGCTATTTCACTATAACCTACTTTAGTTCCATTGCAATGATCAACAAAAAATAAGCCTTACTGAAAAACAAATTGTAAAACAAATAGAGAAAACAGAGAGCGTGGACTTGGCACCAAGACCAGCACCATCGCTCCCTCAGTAATCCTGTTTTGTCACCATTTATGGCAAGTGGCTAAACTAGTGCCAAACACAACAAGAGATCATTCATCTTCGGTCCTAAGTAAAAACCGCTTCAAAACAAATTACCTCATAGACGTGTGAAACATATAAAGGGAATTATGCACATCAGATTAAGGCCATGTTATTTAAACAAATAGCACAAGTTAGGATGCCAGGCACATGAAAATTTTGAAGAGGTCCTACTTCAGATTCAATAAACATTTCAAAACTTTTTAGTTCAGAAAAGATAGAGATAGGCAGAAGTATGCAAATTCTTTGTTAAATAACTACCCATTCTGCCAAATGCAAAGTGATTATAAAAACAATTAGCAATTAGCTACTATACGTATAATTTAATTTCATGTTTTAAAAAGCCAAAACAGCAAGATAAAGGTAGTAACCTGAGTTCATGATACTCACATCCACAACCATCTTATCAATTTCACATATATTGATTTGCTCAACAGAAGGATAACGTGACACCTCACGCAAAACACCACCATCTCCCCCTCCAATAACCAAGACCTAAAACATTGCAAGTTAAATCAACTTTTAGAATCAATATAAAAGGTTCTATTTTTAAACAAGTATACAGCAAAATTGAACATTTTGGATGACTTGCGTTCATTATATCCTACTTATCTTCATTTTACTAGTAGAGAAGTAAATTCCAAAACCTAAAATGAGATCTGACATATAAAGATTCAGCACAAACTTCAATAAAAATATAAAATTTTATAACCAATTTTAAACTGATCTTAGCAACTTATTGAATAACAATATATTGATGTTCAAAAACTAGTATTCAAACATATCTAGCAAATGTTTTGTCTATCTAACGAGCCTGTATAAGAATAAATGAACTCAAAAAATGATTCTTCATATAAACAAACTTGCTCATGAACACTAACAAATACTTTTTGTTCATGAACAAATTCATTCTACTGAAAGAATATGACACAAAAAATGCAATTAAGTTTAATAAAATAAGAATCACCTATTATAACAAAGATAAAATTTATATAAAAAAATATACAATATAAATATTTAATAGAGCTTCTTAACAAGCTTTATATCGAGATTTTTATCGAGCATGTTCACATGCTTTAATTGATATTATTCATAAACATAAATACGACGAACACATAGTTGCTAACAACTGAGTATTTTAAAAATTATTCAAACTTATTTGATTACTTAAACAAATAACATAAACGAGTTGTAATTGAGCTGAGACATGATTAGCTTATTGAATGTTCGATTCATTTGTAGCCCTATTTATAACCATATTTGACAAGAGCTTCTTTTTAAAAAAAATGAACTTAACTGCGAACTTGACTGGTCCTCTACCCAATTCAATATAATTCAACCACTTTCACAAAGAACTAGCCAGTCCCTATTGGAGCAAACAGTTGAACAAATGATCAATTCGATTTTGAAGAACTACCACCCCATTCTATACTTGATCAATTTATCTTTTGATTTTGATCAGATGGCAAAATTTTGATATATATATATATATATAGGAAGATAGGTTGCATATTTTTTCTAATTTTTTTTCATTTACATTCCAATCTAGGGGTACTACTTCAAATATTTTTGCAAGTTTTTGTACAAGTGTATCTATATATAAAGAAAATAATTAATATATCACGTCCTAAATTTAGGATTTAAAATTATATTCCAAATATTTAATAGTAAGTATAATTATTTAGAATATTTTTCATTGGATTGATAAGAATTTCATTATTATATCATATCATGTCACTAAGTCTGATGCAGGACTACTTAGATGGGATGATTATGTATTCATTTAGACATTGCACAATTCTTAGATTAGAACAAATCCAGAAAACAATTACTAGCAATTCTCAACGAATATTCAAAACAAGTAAGGTAATGCTTTGCTTAGATGAGATTACATACTCTGAGCTTTGAAGCTTTCAAAATAAATAAGAAAATCACACAACGCAAAATAGTAAGCTTCAAGTTAATCCCTAATCTAACAACAAGATGTAGGATGCATAGAAGGCACGCTCAATTCCTACGAATGACTAAGCTCAGCAAGAGCACTTGGAGGAGCTTTCATGAATACAATCAAACCAATTAAGAATTCAGATTTCAAAGAAATAAGATATAAGTGTGAAAAGAAACCTTTGCCAAAAGAATTGGATACCCGTCATGCGATACTTTCAACGTCTTTGTCCATGGCTTCCGTCAAAGTACAAGAAGCGTGTCTTGAATAGTCACAAAGAGGAAGAGGTTTCCCTTGATAAGAGAGAGGAGGCAAGCCCCACACCCCTTCTCATAAAAACTGAAAAAACACTCTCAGATTTCTACATAAAATCTGATAGAAATTCTCAGCTTTTGGTAAGCTAACATGAAGAGAATAGTGAGGAGAGGTCAAGCTGTGATTAAGAATAGACGGCTCAATGGGATTTCATGCACCTGCTCTAGATTCAAGAGTTCTTCCCATGTAGGTAAGGCAAGGGGAGGGAGGTGACGGGAAAATCTGCTGACGAGAGGGGAAGGTTGGCGGGAGGCATTTAAAATTCCTGAATTAATTCCTGATTTGTAGGAATTAACTGAGGAGTTACGGTAGATGTAATTCAGCCACTAATTAGTTTTGAAAATTTTTTCTTTCATCATGAAAACTTTCCATATTTGGATTTCCAAATTAGGAAATATTTCAAATTTTGAAATTTCAAACTCTAATTTGAGGTTGGGAGAGAATTCTGGGATGAGGCGTATGAGGGGTTTGGCCGGCAAGGTGGTGGGCGGCGGGATGGGGCTAGGCCGGCGGTGGGGGAACTCCCTTGGGCCGGCGGCAAGAGCAAAGGGAGAGAGGCTTTTGGGGAATTCTCTAGTGGGGAAAATATCATGTAGAAAACAAATAAATAAAACAAGATAACTAGAGAACTCACTAAGAGATCTCAAGGGGAAGAACTCACCAAGAGATCTTTCTTGCACTCACCAAGAGAACAATATGGAGGAAATTTTCATTCATTAAGCAATCATCCCAATACAATGACAAGAGCCTCTTATATAGGCTTTACAATAAAATAAAATGCATAAAGACAAAGATGCCCTCGGGCTACAATAAGCACTACATCCCTCATGGGGGGTACAAATGGAAAACAAGAAATAAAATCATGAAAAGAAAACTAAAGCATCAAAATACAGACTCTGAATCGTCGCCGTCGATCGCCGTCCCCGGCGATGGTACATATGTCGAAATCGGATGTCCCCATCAGTAAACACACAAAGGTATTTGTATTTAAGCTTTCTTTAATACCCACTATGTTGGTCTATTGTAGCATATAAAATGCTCAAGAAAAGAGTTTAGAACAATATGTCAAGTATAACTGCCTATTACAGAACTACATGACAGCCTTGCACTCTATGCTCCAAAAGGTTCATTTAATCATGAAAACCTTTAACACAATTCAGTCAAGGTAGCTAAGTGCTTCTTCCATGTGGGGGTTCAAAATGTAATATAGTTTGAATGGTTAATTTCAGCTGTTGATGAAAATAAACAGCATTCCCTCAAAGAAGGAATTTGGAGTTGAACTTGATGACATATGATACTTTTATGCAGTTACTATGTTTAATATTATTTTGCTCTTGTAATATTTGGATTTCAATTTATTTCACGTAATTTATCACTTGCTACTTTATGTCTTGTGCAATTTTTATTTCATATGTATGTTAATTTGTTATTTTATAGTTCAATAAAAATTTAATATATCAACCTTTAACATATTATTTGCGTATTATATAAAACCACTTTTAACATTTCTATTCACTTTATGCATTTTTTTAATATTGAAGATTACACCTCTCGCCTCACAAACAAAAAACACCTCAATACCCGATTTCGCAATTTTAAAACTTGCACGCAACTTCATGTTTTGCCGTCTAACCAAGATTGCAATGTACTATCAATCAACAAACTCACTCATGAAAAAAATATACACTTGATGTCTCATCTAACATATATATCACTTAAAAAAATTAAACTTAGTGAAAAAAGATTGTGATGCAAAAACGTGTTCAAAACTCTATGTTCCAAAAATAATAATCCTTGAGTTATGTACGGGCTCAAAGAATAGATTGTGCATCCAAGAAACCCCCTCATATGCTAAACACACTTCAAACAATGATAATAATATTTGGCTATGTTCCAATCACCAAGGACACCATAACTTTGCATACCTTTAAAAATGAATTCCTTCTTCGTTCACTAACCAAAACTGAAAGAACTTTTAGTGTGAAATTTGTCATCTTGTTAAACACACTCTTACTTCATATTTCAACCAAACATACAAAACTTCTCAACCAGCTTTAGGCCAAATTGATATGTGCAATCATTGAGTCCAAAAAATCTCTACAGCTGGATGGATTATTTCCTCCATCGATGATCATATCAGTTTCACTTGATTTTCTTAATGAAAGAAAAATCCAATGCTGCACAAATTTTAAAATATCTCAACTTGATGATCCATACTCAATTTTAGCACAAAATTCAAGTTCTAAAAATTAATAATGCCCAAGAAACATTGAATCGATTTTACAAAATTATCTCTTACATCAAGAAATTATCTACCAAAACTCTTGTGTAGACAGCCCTCAATAAAATGGGGTTACTAAAAAGGAAAATAGAAACCTTTTAGAGGTGACTATATCACCAATAATCTCCACAAATGTTTCCAATTAATTCTAGGAAAACGTTGTCCAATAGCTATCTATCATAGTAATAAAACGTTCTCAACAGTACTTAAATTTCAAGCATCCTATCAAGCCTTCTCTGTTCAATTCTCAAGACCATAATCATTTCTTATATTTCCCCAAACATGTTTGGGTGCTCTTCATTTGCAATCATTCTTAGTGCTAGCAAAAATTAAACCATAAATCTACCAAGGGCATCTTTATAGGATACTGCCCAAGTCATAAAACGTAAAAATCTTATTCACTAATTAATAGGGAAAAAAATTATTATTACATGGGCATGACCTTCCTTGAACACTTACGTCACTACAAATATAAAATTCAAAGAAAGAATATTTATGAACAAAAATTTAAAAGTTGGAACTTATATACTCATTCACCATCCTACTCATCAAACTCATGGATAATGAGCATTCCTCACTACACCTCAATCAATCTATTGAACCTCACTTGTTAATAGAATTGTCAATATAGGACTTGCTAATAGAATTGTTAATATAGGACCTGACACTAAAACCCAACTGGAACCTAGCACTAAAAATTCAGGTTTAGATCAACCTAAAAATGATGATTAAATTATTTAATTTTTTTAAATAAAAAGTTCATGTCAAATTATAATTTTAATATTTTTATTAAATTGTGTCCAAATCAAAGTAACTGTTACCATTTCAGAACAGGTTTTACACGAACCTATCATGATTTAAATATTTTTAAAGTTAAGTTGGGTTATGTTTGAGTTGTAATTTTTGACCCGTTTATTAAATAGGTCAATTTCAAGTTGGTTTTTTGGGACATATCCAAGTCGAACCCAAACCCATCCCATGAAGTCAAATTGAACACCCCAACTTGTAAATACACCCAACTTATGCAAAATGAGCTTCATGTCCATATACCTAAGGGAAAACAATAATCAATGGGGCAATCAACATATCCTCAACACGCCCGAGAACTCAAAATTTTATGATTAGAGCTTGTTTTGCATACATAAACATTTTAAAGAATAGTGAAATTATTAAATTTAAATTTTTTTTTTAATTATCTAAAAGAAAAGTTCACTAAAATTTTTTACAAAAAATATAATACCTACTTAAACTCATTTTTTTAATATTGTAATTAGAAATGACCAAATTGCCCTCATACTTAACACCATCACATGGCGGGACAAAATTGGTCCCTCCAAAGACTTGGGGACCATTTTGAGCCCTCACATAGAGTTGAGTGGTTGACATGCTCTTAACCAACTTAACAAAATATTCAGCTCACATATTCCTTCTCACCCAAAGTGCCACCACGATTAGCATTTCACAAGATGAAAACCTCTAAAGATAAATAGATGGCTGCTTTGCTCTCCTTGGAATTTCTTGCATTGCCAACCACTCGTTCTTGCATTATCAGTCCTTCACCATGGTCCATAAGATGAAGCGTAAGGAACATATGGCTTTGCATGTTTAAAAGTACAGCAAGACTCACTCATGAAGCTTTCTAGGATCTTAGCTATAGGGTCTTACCTACATTTAGCATAGAGACTATATCATGATTTAAACTCATAACCTCAAAATTATAATAAAGGCGACCTAAGAGATGTTTCAGTCTGCCTTCAATATAAATAAATTCTAAATTCACTTCACTTGTAGAACTGCATCATAACTACAAACTGACACCATCTATTCCAAGCCTGAGTTGATGTTAGATCACCAACCACACGTAAAAGTTATGTCACAACCCATAAATGAATCCAAATGCAAAGTTGTCCTCCCATAACACTCCATATGTGATGCACGCAAAAGTAAGCAAAAAAAATTAGGAGACCCCTAATTTTTTTGCTAGAAAAATATGTCCTTACTAGGATAAAGAAATTACAAGAAATAGACAAAATACAACTTTAGTATTATAAAAGGACTTACAAACGACACATACTAATGACGCATACAAACTTTGATATAAAATCCTAAACTTGCATTCCTTGAGAAGAAAGATATTGATAGCGTCGAACTTGCGGAGAGAATAAGGTATTAGAAGCCAAGACGAAGGATAGGAGTAACTCGCAAGTTTTCCTAGAAGGGAGAAGAAGAAATGGACAAAGCTCTCAAGCTTTTCCAAAAAACCCTCAGGTTTTATCTCCAAAAATCATAATTTTCATCACCCTGTAAACATACAAATCAGCCCCTATTTATAGGCAAGAAAGGGGAGCTAAAAAGCCACTACATTAGGGAACATGGAAGACCAAAAGTAACTAAATAGAAGGCCAAAAAACAGCTAAAAAACTGCGGCAAAATACAGGAAATGGAAGGCCAAAAGACAGCTAGAAGAAGGCCAAAAGATAGCCCAAAACCTGCAGAAAATGGAAGGCCAACAGCCACAACACTTCAGCCCCCCCACACGAAACAACAAATAAAGAAGAAAAGTCACAGAACCAAGCAGCAAACCCAAGGAACCAAGCAGCAACTCCACGGAACCAAGCAGCAACTCCACGGAACTAAGCAGCCAGCCGCAGGAACCAAGGGGGAAAGGCACAGGAAACCCAACAGCCATCCACAGGAACCAAAGGGCCAAGCACGGGAAAACCAGCAGCCATCCATGGGAACCAAAGGGCCAAAATCCACCATAATGAGCTTCCACTAAACTTACATAAATGAGCTAAACTTCAGCTCATTATGAGCTAACCAAGAGCTCAAAATTAATGAGCTAGGAAGTGCAATAAATCCCCCAATCATTGAGCTAAACTTTAGCTCAATCATTTATGAGCTAGAACTAATTAAAATTCCAGCATTTTGAGCTTAATATCAAGCAACCAAAGCTTACCCGAGAACACCAGAAGCCCAAGGGTCAAAACAAATTCTCATCTTGTTTTGCCCCCCCCCCCCCCCCACCGAATAAATAAAAAGTAAGAATTTATAAAGCAGAAAACAATAAAACAAGTTCCCAAGCAAAAATCCTACTATGCTATTCCTGATCATATAACATTACAAATTCACGAATTGTAGTTATCAAATTACAAAACACTTTCTGCTAACACATGGAATGCAAATTAAAACCAAACAAGAAACTTTAACGTTTCTAGGCAAGAAATATAAAAATAGCAAGCAAGATGGGTAAACATCATGAGCACCATAAACAATAAGTTGCTAGCGACAAGGTCGAAGTACTTTAATATGTATTTTGATAAATTGCACCTACGATCTTGAGGTTAGGTCAACATTTCAAACAGGCCTGCGTGAAATTTTCACCATTTCACATATGTTATTGAATTTTCCATCAATTCACCAAAGGCCATGAAGTCTGTAATAATAGCTTATTTGCATGTAAAAAGTAAACAATAGCCCCAACCATGCACCAAAAAAGCTGCACATTTCATTCTTTACTTTGAACAAACACAGAGAAGTTATAAATGTTATATGTTAGTTTCTTACAAAAAAGAAATCACCCAAACAGCAATAACAGAAAAGACATAAGAAGTTTGCAGTGCGCCTAGGATCAATGTTGACCTCTGTACACATGAACAAAAAAAAATCTCTAGCATACGCACCTAGATCCACGAATCCAGCATGAAATCCCGCGATAGCTCTGCAAACGACGTCGAACAGCCCGTGCTTCCTGCCCAAATACTGTTCCAGCTGGACGCTCCTCTCATCTTTAAAAGCCAGATGAGATGAGGCTTTCGGCTCTGCTCACACGAAAGGAAAAAAAGATTTGGAGGAGAAATTCACTTTGATCAAGATTTGGAAATGATCTGCCACTGAACGGAAGAGAGTGGTTCGTCAATAGCGTCGGTGAGGGTGAAGACGATCCTCTCAATGTATTCTTCTACGGTTTGATCAATCTCCAAGTTGAGATCGAAGAACGGTGATTTAAGGATATCAACTTGACCTTGATCGTCATAGACAAATCCATGATCAAGTTATGGATCCACCATACATGTGGGAACAGTCGATTTTGATGTACTGGAGCTCCTGGACAGCAAACAGCATCTTTCCGAAGAGCTGGACAGCAAAGGATTTTGCTGAAATTTCTTGGACAGCAATGGGACACCTTGGGGAGATGTTAATAGCAGCAACTAGGAAGGGATTAGGAGGGGTAATGGAGGTGGAGGGAGGAGGGGAAGGGGCCAGCCATATGGAAGGGTGAAAGGGCTTCTATTTCCCGATTTGGGATTTTATTTTAAGGAAGAGAGATGGTCCAAAAATCTGAATTTTACTTTTCAAATTCCCAAACAAAGGGGAAAAGGGTAGAGGGGCCAGCGACTACTGAGAGGAGGAAGGGATTGGGAGCTTTAATTGATTGCCAATTCAAGAAACCTAAGTTGGGAAAGAGAATTTAAATCAAATCCCCGTTTAAATTTAGATTTAATTGATTGGAAATCTGAATTAAAACTTTCCTAATATATGTCAACTAATTTTAGGAAAGCAATATCCATTCAAATTGATTTGAATTTTGAATTTGAAATAACTTACTAGTTTAAGATTTTGCCAATAAAGAAAGTCATAATTGCTTGGTTTGAAACTTGGAGAGAAAAGGGAAGGAATAGTGGCAGGCGGCTAGGACTTGGACTAGGGTTAGGATTAGGGTTTGATGTGTGGGCCGGCGGCTATGGGGAGGTGCTAGGCCTTTGTGGTCGGCGGCTTGGTAGTGGAAGAGGGGTGGTCGGGAAGATTTGAGGGGGGGTGGGGGGGTTCGGCCGAGAGAGGAAAAAAAGGAGGAATGGCCGGCAATTTAAAGAGGGAAGAGGGGATGGGAGGGATTGACGAAAAGAGGACCAAGAACCCGGACGCTTCCTGCAGTTGGTGGGAAATATGCCGCCCTCACCTAGGGACTTCAAGATAGCTCTCTCAAGAACTCTGACAACTCACAAAGAACACGAGTGTAGAAAATATCATAATAATCATCATTACCCTCTCCAAAGAGGAGGGGATATAAATAGCTAAAGTTTACAATGAATAAATAAAAGACAATGCCCCTAAGGGTCACAAACAATTAATCCCTCAAGTGATGATAAAAACGGAAAAAAAAATGCATAACCAAATTGAATATATATAATAACTCAAAAATAAATAGGTGCAATCGTGGCCGTAGATTGTCGGCCCCACCTCTGGTAAACTCTCCAAGGTCGGAGTCCTCATCATGTTTTCTGTGGGTGTCATAAAACCTATACAACTGAAGGATTTCTTCCCGAGTTTCCCCACCAAGATTTTATTTACTAAGTTTGCTTCCATCTCCTTTTAGTTTATGAATTTCTCCGTTACTTTAAAAAGATTATATGTGCTCACATATGCATGTGTTATGAAATTCCAGTATCTCAGGGCAGACAATCACCTTTTTAGGATTCTGGATGGAGCATAAAGGAAGGTGTGTAATCATCTCTTGATATGCACACTCATCTCTTTGAGTAACTTGAATGACTCCATCAAGAACTAGAACCTTGCCGTAAGTAGCTGACTGAATTCAAGATAAGGAAAACATATGACATTCAGATCAAACAGGACAAGAGAAAGAGACAAAGTGGAAGTAGTGGAAGGAATTTTACATTATACCTGGAATACCATCACATCTTGGTATTCAGATTTCCCTTGATACAAAATCTCCTCTATCTTCAAAGAGTGAGCCTCACCTACAAATAATTAAAAATTGATAGAAAGGAAGAAAAATAAAAACTCAATGGTTTGGGAAAACCCAACAGATAAAAATTCTAATCCATGCAAAAAAAGGACAAAAATAGCTCACATTCAGGAAATAAGAACGAAATTCTCTAAAAAAAAAAAAGTTGATATCATGGCCTACACTACCAGTTATTGACCATTTGTAAAATTGAATTTGACAACAGCTCAGACAAAAACCATCAGCAGGACACTTATCAGAAATAGCTCACATTCAGCATGAACCAAACTTGAATTGTGCTAGGCTTGGATCAAATCAAGTTCGCTTAGGAGCAAATAGAATGTATAAGGTTATAATGAATCCACGTGCACAACATTTATATATTTATATTTGCATTCAAGCATACATGAGTTTTTTCATCTATTATTATATTTGCATTCTTTTTTAGATTTAAACAAGAATTTGACTTTTAACAGGACACAATGGAGAAAAAGGATTCATGTAGTCGACCCCACAAAGTGCGACAAAGGCTTGATGTTTTTTTTATTATTGTATATATGTATGTATCAAGATATATGGATGCATATGTGTAGGATGGAGAGAGAATTTAGCTTAAGTTCAAAATCAAATCAATTCATTAATTATGTCACGTTTAACGAGCCAGGCTTGGTAATAGAGATCAAATCAACGTAGTGTAGTGCTAGGTTTAGTTCAACGAGAAATCAAATTGAATGGATGTAAGCAAATCTTGAGCCAAGGTTGGATCAACTGAAGCCGCGGGAAGGAGTTGGCATCCCTAGCAACAATGCCAACCTTGTATGTATGTGTATATATATATGCTTGTGTGTGTGTATATATATATATATATATATAGACAAGCATATATAAGCACATATAAAATATTGGTATACACTGCATGAAACTTTTGTCATACAGAAGCTGTGGAGGGGGGGTTAATATACGCTGATTCTAGTGAGAGGAAGTTATTGAAGGTGTATATAGATAAGTATTGCATATGGAGGTACAAAAAGAAAGGATGGGGATGACAATCCCCAACTAAAAACCTACCTGCCTCAACAACCATAATCTCTGAAATTGAGGGTGTGACATGAGAAATTAATCAATAAATAATACTGTTGGTGTCAACATGAAAGAAGAATTAACTGGATATATTTACCATGTTCCATGGTAACAAGATGCCCCAATAACTATTGTTTCATGGTGATGAAATATATGAAAGTGTAACACTGATTATCACAAAAATATACATATTTTTTAAAAAAATCCAAACTATTAGAGTTGAGATGAAGTTACCAAAGAAGCACTAACCTATCGCCCAAAATTTATGCCTTTTGAAATGCCTAACAAAAAGTAATGATACAGCTAATCTCCAACCTTCATTAAATTCCAAAACATTTTAGTAGAAAAACAAACAAAAAATATGATTTTGATCCAGAATTGTTGAATTAAAACTAAATGTGAGATTCCAATCTATAAATTATGTTATAAAGTGTGTTATGCCATGACGCAAGAATCACAAGTTATAAAGGCTGGTTACTGCACTATAGAGAGAATTTGAGAAAAAGGCCACTTTATTTCCATCCTTCATGGATGTAAAAAAAGTTATCTTTATCACATAATATTAATCAAATTAATAGTGACTTAGCGGCAAGCCAAAAGGCAACAATCTCTAGAAGGCTCTTGTAAACTTGCAAAGCAGAGAGCATGATCTTTTTTGTAAGTTGACCTTGATTAATTATCTTTCATGATCAAAGATTTTTTACTTATTATCATTAATTATACTTGGCTTTGAAGAGAATTTTGTGTTCTATATATCATTAATGTCCATGGTAATAAAGAGATTATCACCTCCAATGCAAATATCAAGTTTAGAAGGTAAGTGAAAAACCTATTAGCCGGTCGACCATGCACTAAAATTCCCTGAGAATAATCAAATTATGGCCTGAAGTCAGTAATTTCCTAGAGAACTCTAATATGAACCTTATGAGTGGGGGCTAACAATATAAGAAATGGTTTATTTTATCACCACATATGATGTGGGACGTGCGTTGATGTCATATTACATCCTAAAGGCATGCTTTAGGGTATCCAAGTGGTATTAAACATTTGTGGCACTTAATATTAGAAACACTAACACATCACAATTATTAATGAAAATTTATTCATATAATCATAATCATATCAAAATTTAAATGGCAATTAAACATAGGGTAGACCAATAATTTACATGGTTGCTCCTTAGACTGCAAGTCTAACCAAGTTATAACATTAAACCAAACTAACATCACAAAATCCATGGAAGACCTTCACCAAGAAAATTCTAGCTCATAATTGAATCAATAATGTGTTAGACCGGTCCACTGGACCGGTCCAGCCAGTCCAGGCGGGACCGGTTCACGGGCCAAAGATCGCGAAACAGGCGGAAGCCGCACGCACGCACGCCGCCGATGGTCCCGCACGCCCGAATAGGAAGGTTTTTGAATGGATTTTAGGAGGGAAATTGATTGTAGGGATTGTTTAGGGAATTCCTTTTGATTTGTATGCATTAAATAGATGTTTTTTCTAGGGTTTGAGTATCTGGAATTTGGCTGAAATTTGAGATCTCGTAGAACTAGGATTTCTTTGGGCTCTAGCGGCGTCTAGAGATTTGGGAGAGATCGATCCTCCTCTCGAATTGAGGATCAATTGTATCTTTGCTATTTCTTTGCAACTACTAGTAAAATACAAGTCTTTTCTCGGATTTTTCTGCAATTTTTCTTGCTTTCCTACTGTTTTTGGCTGATTTCCTGCGGTGGACAGCAGTTCGCTTTGAGATTTGTTGCTAAAGTGATTAGGGAATACTTGAAATCAAGTATTTCCTATCATAATGCCAAGACACTATGCCTCTAAAAGCATGAAAAATAGACCAAGCTGGACATATTAAGAATAAATCCTAAGAACAGGATTGATTCAGGACTAAATACTTAGGCAACGTTTAGATAGGAATTTTGCACGCTTGAATTGTTAGAAACAATATTAATTAAACTTGTAGAGATTTAAACGATGACATTAAACAAGAGTGGGGTGAATTTAGTTTAGGCCAAGTTACACACATGAAAGCTAAGATCGTTTAAATAGCCATTAGATCAAACATAGCATACATAGAAGAGCTTCAACAAAATCCCTGAGTTAACAACAAGATAAGTCACTATGAAGAGACCCACTCACTCAACTCTCTAAAATTACTAAGCTTTAGCAGATGGATTAATAAGAACCTTTATGAATTAATTATAAACCACAATTAAGAGTAACTAGGAAGATGTAGGAGTTGGTGGAAGGGTTTACCCAACGGAGGAAGATACTAAGCTCCGGTGTAGTCGTTTGGGTGTTGAGAAGGGTTGGACAGCAACCTGAACTTCCTAGTTGCCTTTGGACAGCACTTGGAAAACTTCTGGATGGTGAACAGCAGACTAGACTGTGCTGGAGTCTTTGGACAGCAATCAGTGATCTCTTTAGTCGGCTAGACAGCAAGCTAGAAGGCTGGGATTTTCTGGACAGCAACTGGTGTAATACTGGACAGCAAACAAGAGCTGTTTGGACAGCAACGTTGCTGGTCCAGCAGTTCTGGACAGCAATTCCTTTGTCCAGAAATCTGAGCAGCAGTTGTTAACGGGTCTAAGAGGCTAGGGTTTGATGTGGAATGCTAAGGCGAAGAGAAAATATCCTTTAGTGGACTAGGGGAATCAGTTGGGAAGGTAAAGAGGGGATTGATTCAAGAAAAGAGGGGAGAAGGGAGCTAGGAGAGGCGGTATTGGGAGGGAAGGGGAATTAGGAAGGTGAGTTACGGCTTGCCTAATTGAGGATATCCAATTGAGGGAAAGGATTTAATTCCAATTCAATTCAAAATTGATTTGGACTTAATTTGGGGAACTTCCTAAAATAGATTGGCCGGCTATTTTAGGAAATATTTAAAAAATTCAAATTGGTTGAATAATTGAATCAAAGCTTTCCAAAAGCGGTCTTGTAGGAAAAGGAAAGTATTAATGGGGTTTTGAAATTTGGGGGCAAGGAGGGGGGGAAATAGGCTGGCGACTAGGTTAGGTTTAGGGTTGGGTTTTGGCGGCTTGGAGGTGGGAAAGATTGGGTAGCCGAGTAGGAGGGGCGGTGGGATGTGGAGGTTGGCCGAGAGATATGAAGGAGGGGAGTTGTGGTTGGCCGGCGGCTAGATGGGGTGGGAAGATGGTTCGGCCGAGAGAGATGGAAGGGAAACCTTGGCCGGTGGTGGAGGGGAAGGGAGGTAGGATGATAGACACGTCGTCGACCACGAAAGGACTCTTCCTGAGATTGGTGGGTATTGCGATACCCTCACCTAGGGACTTCAACCTCTCCAAAGCTCTATAGCTCTCACAAAACTCAAGGATGCAGGATTTTCATAATAATCATTCATTAGTCCTCTACTCCTCTCAAAGAAGAGAAGGGACTTAAATAGTACAATACATGAAGGGAAAAACAAAAGATAGCATTGCCCCTAGGACTTACAAATAACTAATCCCTCAAGTAAGGGCATAAATGAAAAAGAACATAAATAAATCAAAATACATAAAATAACTCAAAATAAATCAGTGCGATCGTGGCCGTAGATCGTCGGCCCCGCCTCTGGTAGATTTTCCAAGGTCTGATGACCTCATCAAGGATTTGCCAAGAAACATACAATATCACAAAGTCCAACATGAAAGAAAAACATGAAACATGTCTTTATATTGATAAGGATTTTTTTACGCAATCCAATTATATAGATAATGATGAATTGTTAACCTCCTTTCTAATATTACTATGTTTTCACAACCAACTCATCAACCATGAAATTCCTAAACTCATTGGTTCTTCGATTTCTTTCTAATTTTTTAGTCATCAAGAACTTAATTTGTTTGCCATAATTCATGGGACTAAGTTTTTAACCAAATAAACTTTATTTATGCATACTCTGCACCAACACGTAATTAAAAAAAAAAAAAAAAGAGATCCGAGAAAGTGAGGATATGAATGACTTTTAGTTATCAAGTTGTGTTAAGTAGTTCCAAGTACTAAATGAGAAAAGTTGACGATTGCATTAGGTAGTCGACCACCAGCTTAAAATTTATCAAATAATCATGACATGAATACTTTAATACATTGTATTAATGGCAGGGCGTTCCATGGAAGCGACGGCTGTATGGCATGATATTGCGAGAAGTGTGCAAGGGCCGTTGCATCGGCATCCGGTTGCAGTCTTAAATAAGCAAAAGTTCCCACGTCACAAATAGATGTGGGCAAAGAAGTTAGTCAATAAAAATATAATTAGGATAAAAATTTCAAATATAGGTTCTCTTACAGGCAAATTAATGAAATTAATATATATTATGATTCTTAGGAAGATAAATATTCTATGCATTCAGGGAAATTAAATGAGTTACAGAGAAGATTAAGGAGATTCATAATTTAGGATTTAAACTATAGTATTTAGGTAGGAGTCGTACTAGAAATGGGATAGGTGTAATTAAAGATAACAGTTTGAAGGACAAAATGATAAAAATTAATATAATTGGGATAGAATTATAGCTTAAAAGCTTATTGTTGATACAAATATTATTAATATTATAAGTGCTTATACTCTTTAAGTAGGTTTGGATATGTATTCAAAATTAAAATTTTAAAATATCTTAGAAGAATTAATAAAAAAGATGCCACTTGAAGAAAGTATTTTTATTGGAGGATATTTAAATAGACATGTTGGTAGAGAGCTAAAAGATTTTAAAGCATTCATAGTGATTATGGGTTTGGAGCAACTAATGAAGGTGGTTAGACTATATTAATTTTTTTTCTCTAGCTTATAATTTTATAATTGCTAACACCTTATTTAAGAAAGCAGATGAGCATCTCATCACTTATAAGAATGGATATAGTAAAATTCAAATTGATTATTTTCCTATAAGAAAAATATATCGTTTAGATTGCAAAAACTGTAAAGTTATTCCGATCGAAAGTTTGTACCCAACATCGCTTATTAGTTTTGGACTTTAAGATGAAGGGGGCGAAATATGAAAAATAAAATAAAATTTTATCATAGGATTAGATAGGGACATTTAAATAACACTAATAAAAATATTTTTAAGAAAAAGAATCAAGATTTTAATATTCTAACTGTACATGACAAAACTAATATTATGTGCAAAAAACATCTAATGACATTAAAATTATTGCAAATAATATGCTTGGAGTATCAAAATGAAAAAATCATAATAGTTGGTGGTGGAATCAAAATGTGCAAAAAAAGATAAAAAATAAGAAGTTTTGTTATAAAAATTGATTAAGATGTAAAAACTCAAAAAATTGAAAAAGATATAAAGAAGCTCATAAAGAATCTAAGAAATAATATGTAATGCAAAAAAGTTTAGTAATAATTTATATAATAGATAAAATACTAAAGAAAAAAGATGTATGTATAAGTTAGTCAAGCAAAAAGATAGAATGATGGATTTAGTTAAAATGAAATGCATTAAAGATGAAGATTAAAAAGTATTTTTATTATTAGAAGAGAATATTCAACAATGATAGATGAGATATTTTGATAAGCTTTTCAATGAAGATTGTAATAATATGATTGTCTTTAGTGACCTTAGCACCCTAAATGAAAATAGATATTTTTTTTATTGTCGTATTAATAAAACTAATGTTAGAGAGATTTTTAAAAAAAGAAGTGTGGAAAAATTATTGAACCTGATAAATGCTTAAGAAATGAAGGAATTTCTTGGCTTAAGAAATTTTTTAATATTATTTTGAAGACTAAAAAAATGTCAAATGAGTGAAGGAGTATGTTGATTCATATTTTTAAGAATAAGGATGATCCATAAGAGTGAGAATTATAAAGAAATTAAGTTAATGTATCACACTTTAAAACTTTGAGAGAGAGTTATTGAGCATAGGTTACGAAGTTATAATAATATTTATCAAAATAAATTTGGATTCAACCCGGGTAGGTCTACTACGGAAGTTATACAATTATTGATAGGTTTGATAGAGAAGAATAGGGAGAATAAAGAGGAGCTATATATAATATTTTTTCATTTAGAGAAAGCTCATGATGAAGTTATAATAGAAGTGCTATGAAGAGTTCTAGAAAAGAAAGGGATTAATAATGTTTTTTTTTTCAAGTCGTTAAGGATATGTATGCAGGAGTTGTTGCTTTTGTTCAAACACAAGGTGGTTTGACCAAGTATTTTCCTATTTTTGTTGGATTACATCAATGATCAGTTTTAAGCTCATATTTTGCTTTAATCATGGATGTTCTTACTAGACATTTACAGGATGATGTGCCCTGGTGTTTGTTTTTGCTGATGATATTCTTCTTATCGAGAAGAGTAGAGAGGAAGTTGAAGGTAAACTTGAATTATGGAAGCCAACCTTAGAGTCAAAAGGGTTCTCGTTTGAGTAGATCTAAAACTAAATACATAGAGTGTGATTTTAGTAGTAATAGATCTAATGAGGGGATTGTGACTTTGGGTGATCAAGTTATTAATAAATGAATACATTTTAGATATCTCAGAGTGATGATGAAATAGATAATAATATTATTCGTAAAATTCAAGTTGGATGGTTGAAGTGGAGGAATACATCAGGCCTATCATGTGATAGAAAAGTACCCCTCAAACTTAAAGAAAAATTCTATAAGATAGTGATGAGACCTGCAATGTTTTATGGCGCGGAATGTTTGCCTTTAGAAGAGAATCATACAATTAAGCTAAGTGTTGCAAAAATGAAGATGCTCAGGTGGATGAGTGGCTTAACTCTTAAAGATAGCATGTGAAACAAGCATATATGTGAAAAGGTTGGAGTAGCTCCAGTGGCAGATAAGATTAGTGAGTGTCATCTTAGCTGGTTTGGTCACATAAAATGCTAGCTTTCGACCTGGTTAGAAGAGTAAATGTATTAGATTTGGCCTATTTTTAGAGAGATGGATATAGACCTCGAAAGATTTGGTTAGAAAATATTAGAAATAAACTTTTTAATTATATTTAAATAAGAATTTGAATATTAACATGACACAATGGAGAAAAAAGATTCATGTTGTCGACCCCACGTACTGGGATAAAGGTTTAATATTGTTGAGAAAGTAATAATAATAAATACACACAAAAAACATATTGCTTCACCCACTCTAAAATTCAACGACGATCCAACGCATAAGATAAAATAAAAAATATATAAGAACATAATGTATTGAAATAAATATTTTTTGTGTCTTAGTTGCCGACCTAGTTTTGAATTTTTTTATTAGTAAAGCAATACTCCATTAAAAAAGGGATAACAAGGTTCTAAGACCCAATTTATTACTAAATGCATGTAATTTAATCACCGAAAACACAAAGTAGCTAAAAATTACCAGGAAATTGAAAAATTAAACATTTACAACATGCTAAAATGCATTGCCAAATTAGCAATTAAAATTATTTAACTTCGACAAGTTCAATTGCTAAACAAGCATAAATAAAAAGATATTTGCATGTATAATACAAAACTCAAAAAAATCTTTCAAATGATTAATCTCCCCACACGAATTGTTCAGATTCACCAGGCAAGGAACGGGCAAATATAACAGAACTACTTACAAGTAACAATGACCAGGTGTAAACTTCCTTTGTAACGAGTTGTGGAACTTTGTAATTACGTATAATACAAAAACTTCACCCCAGAAATTGTCTTGTAACTTCTTAAGTTTAGGATAAGCCCTTTCGTTCCTTCCCTTTAAATCCTGATTCCACCACTTTTTGTATGGATTTTCCAGCAATGTCCCATTAAGAACAGGAGAACTCAAAATAATAAAAGAACCAGCAATGATATTATGGGTCCATCCAAAACTCACTTGCAGGCCAAAGATGTATATTCAACCACCAGACAGTAGGAAAACGAAATTAGAGTTTGCAGCTTGCAAAATGGATAAAAGCATAAACGCAACAACTTAACAAAGCAGATTAGCCAACCGACATTCAACTATTAAACAAACAATCAAACAAAAATTACTGCTATGCATCGTATAAAACTCCACTAAAGCATCTCCTCACACAAATTTCCCAAAAGCGACAGAAAACACAGGGAAAACAAGACTACAGTATTCCACTTCCAACAAACAAGAAGGAGAAAAAGACAAACTAACCGGGCCACATGGGGCTCATCTCGGAGAACCAGCCAGGAATAATGGAGGAGATACCATTCGCCGCCGCATCGTTGCCGTTGTTATCCTCGTCCTCTCTCGGCCGCTTAGTTATCACCTCCTCCATTTCCTCCCCTCTCTCTCTCTCTCTCCGCTCGCACGGAGCCGTATGCGAATGGTAGTTTGGCTCTTATAGATTTTCCTGAAAGATGATGCCTTATTGTCGAATCCAGATTTTTATAATCAAAAGATTAGGTTTTCCTTTTAAACCCAGAGAATCCAATTCCACCGCCCAGGGCCGATGGGTCCCGCTTTTGTAAACGATGCTCTTTAGCAAAGACATTGCTTTCGGACACGAGAATGCGACCAACCGACGTGGCTCACCCATTCCACGACGTGTGTCCCAATGGAATTTAAAATTCTCCCTAAATTATTACTAAGGTCCTCATATGTAAATTTAGCTCTTAAAAATTTTTAAAAACTATTATTAAGATGCTGAGTTTAATTTTTCTTCATTAAAATTATGTCTTAGTGGTTAATATTTCTCCTAAAAATAAAAGGTCATTCAATATAATCATTATAACACTAATTTTATATTTAGGAAAAAACAATCAAAGCTCTTAAAAATCTAAAGAGAGATATAATAAGAGAAATAGTTAAAAAGAATAATGTTACTTTGTATTTAATTCTTTATCTTTATTCCAACTTAGCATGTTATGCAGCAACTTTTTTGAGCTATTTGTGGGGCAATGTAACATTGCTCAATTCAACTTTTTTCTTAGGGGAAAAGTGTAGTAATTATGCTTTTTAGTTTTGGTTTGACCTTCTTATTTGTGAAGTAAATGAGCCATGAGAAAAAATATAGATTATTTATTTTTATGAATTCAACAAAATTAATTAATAATATAAACAAATATTACTAATGCATCATAAAAAATTAGATGATATACTAATCTCTATGTAATCAAATTGAACGTATCTACTAGAGGAATCCAATGAATTTAGGATCACTCAATTTTTATGTTTGATATATTTCCTCACTATTGTCTCCCCTTACTACAATATGTCTTTCCATTTATGACAATAAAATGGGGGAGCCAAATCAGACCACCGACTGTCTTCGAACTTCTAATAGGCTATTGACTGATACCATAATTCTATTTGGCCACCAACTGACATTGGACTTATGTCCGACCACTAACAGACGATGGACTTCCACCCAACTTTCAATTATTATTAGACTTATACCCAACCACCAACTAACCCCAAGATTTTGCCCAGCCACCAACTATCATTGGACCCACCCTAGATGATTATCATCAGACAATGGTCTTTCTGAATAATATCACCCGTTTACTACGGTCCTTCCAACCTCCTTTGCCAAACAATGATCTTTTTTTATCAATGTCACCTGTCGACTACAGTCCTTCCAACCTTCGTCGACAAACTACAATCTTTCTTACCAATGTCGCTCATCAACTACAATTCTTCTGACCTCTATAACCAAACAACAGTCTTTCCAACATTCGTCACCCGCTGAATATGATATTTTCGACCTACATCGGCAGACTACTATCTTTTTTACATCCGTCACCACCCACCAACTACAGTCCTTTCGACCTCGGTTGCTAGATAATCATCTTTCCGACCTCGTCATAAGACAATAGACTTTATGACCTCCATCGCCCACCTAATATGATCCTTTTGACCATTATTTACAGATAATGGCCTTTTCGACCTCCGTCGTCCGTCGATTATGGTCCTTGTGACCTCCGTCGTCAGACTTCGGTCTTTTAGACCACCATCATCTGCTGACTATTGTCCTTCCAACCTCCGTCATCAGACTACTGCCTTTCTAACCTCTGTTGTCTGCTGACTACAGTAATTCTACTACCGTCACTAGACTACAATCTTTTTAACATCCGTTGTCTGACGGCTATAATTCAACTGACTAAACGAACATGCCAAAACTGACTTTTCCAATTTCTACCATGTAAAGTACTCTATATGATGTATCTTCCTTCAAAAAGACTGTAGTCACTAGATTACTGTCTTTTTCACCTTTGTTGCCTGCCAGTTATAGTTCAACTGACTAAACGAGCATGACAATACTGACTCTTCCAATTTCAACCATGTAAAGTACTCTATATGATATATATTTGCTACATCAAATCAAGGCCTTTCCCTAAGGAATGACCTCATTTGCTATTAACTGCAAACACTAGTGGATTCATTCAAACTGGGCTAAGCCCTATTATTTTTTCCCCTTCTTCAGGGGTTTCCACATAAAAACTCATGTGTCTCTTATGAACACTACAACCTCTTTTTTATCTGATTGTTTGTTGGATTTGCGTATGAAGCTAAGACATTAAACTTTATATTTCTCTATTGTTTTGAATATTGCAGGATGCAACCATGTTAAATCACCTAGATGATAAAAAGAAAGATATATGCTCAAGAGGAATGACATTAGCTACCTAATAGACTATTTGGAAATTGTGGCCAAATTTATCAATTGACACCAACAAATATTAAGAAATATGCCATATTTATCTGGTTCAAATGTGAGATAATTTAGAGGACTAAACAAGTCCACCCTTTGTCCGACGATTAACACCAATGTTCGTTAACAGTAACTACTGTCACTCTACAACAATTGTTAAACCATCATTATTCGACTATCAATTTTGTAACTGTCATCACTTTATAGTCGACAATGTTACCACACATCTTCAATATTAAGGTCAATACACATCATTGAAATCAACTCGAATGCTCGTAATTTTGTTGCACATCGTAACTAATAATTATGACACAAGCCATTGCAAATAACACTGATGCACATCATTGACACCAACATCGATGCCACTATTGACTTCATTGCACATCGTTTTTGGCAACAATGATGCACCACATCACCAATAAGAATAATATGTACCATCGACACCAACTTCTACAAATTTCACACATGCCCGACGAGGGTCATGAATTGAGCATTTACAAATTTTTATAGATTTTTTCACAAGCAAACTAATATGATGAAAATCAATGGTTAGAGAATAAGTAAAATTACTTGAAAAATAATCATAGCATTCAACTATGCAAACATGCAACTTTTACATGGTGCAGCAAATCGTATTGTTTGCTAGTTTTATTTTTCAGGCTTGGTTTTATTTTGTTGTACTTTCTATTGTCAAGAATTATTATAGATATATCTCCTATTGTATACATATTTTTAAATGATATATAGAAAAATTATTTTAAAGATTTAGTCTCCCGCTTTATATTTTATTCAATAGTGATTATATGTTGTATAAATAAGTTTAGTTTTTCTTAGCATTTCTCCAACTAAATCTTGTGGTCAGTTTCTGGTTCTTGTCACGATCGTGCATGGCATGACCTGTGTGATATCAGATTACATCGGGTTAGGTTGAGACAAGCTTTTTGGTATCAGAGCATCAGTTGGAGAAGCGAATCGTAACATAACCATATAATTTAATCAGTAAAAGTGTGAGATGATTCTGACTAGTTTTGGCTGCTTATGTTATTTTATTTTTCCTATATATGGGCTACATACAAATTTATTTAGATTTCATGGTCTTTTAATCCTTATCGATCCATTAGAGTGAGAAAACACTCACTATATAGCTAGGAGCAAGACTGATGATTAATCGTTGTTATTTAAGGTTGGATGTAACAGATGATTTAACCATTAATGGAACTATCTATATTAAGCTTAGACGGATGGTTAGTCTCTCTATTTAAACAAGCATCTTCTACAGACCCACCGTGCATAAGATGCACCACAAATCAAAATTGAATTAATTAAAGTTGATTTAAGGGTTTAATTAAATAAAAAATTTCTATATAACTAAAAAATATGACTAATTAATTTCTTATCCAAATTAGGAAAATAAGATCTCTTTGGATTAAAAAAATGAATATATAGAATAGGACAAAAATATTTCTGAGGGTATTTAAATAAATCTTTCATAGCCATCCTGTATAGAATGTGAAAGGATAATAAGTAATAAACATCATTAATTACCTTTGACGGCCTTCAAAATCATATCAATAGTTATTTGGGATTGTTGCGGGCTAGAAAATACACGGCGATAGCGTCAGAATTTTACGTCTCAACATTATACGAATATCCATCACACATAAAGATATTACAATTTTTTTTTCGTAGAAAACACTGAAAAGGAGAAAACTCATGGGGTCACGCCGAGTTGAAATGATTCCACTAGTGTTTGAGTATATTACGGTTGACAGAATCGTCCTTGAGGGTGATCAGATTATAATAATCAACCGCTTGGTTGAAATCTATTGACAAATGAAGGTTAGGCGCAAGTCCGTTGACGTTTGGTCAGGTAGAAGTCCAGCGTTAGTTGGTGGACTGACGGAAGTCCGACGTCAGTTAGTGGTTCGACAGAAGTCCGACGTTAGGTGGTGGTCCGACAGAAGTCCGGTTTCAGGCGGTGGTCGGACGGAAGTCCGGTATTAGGTGGTGGTCCGACAGAAGTCCAGGCGGTGGTCAAGGCCATAGGAGCTAGGTGGCAAGAGATTTATCCGATCTCATTCTTGCTTGAGGCCCCTTTCTATGAGAAGTGATGGGTCTATTTATAGATTTATGAGAGTGACATGAACATTAAATAGAAGGAAGATCAAGGGCAAATTGGGATTGGTTTGAATGTGCAGCTAATGTTGATTCTCTTGATCGTGGATTGTTTACTGCACATTTGAATGTCTTAGTGATATCAGAATTCAGTGATCTTAGGCTCGTTGGATTTGTCTCATCAAGTCGCTTGATTTGATTATAAGCATGTCACATTTGGAAACCATTTGGTAATCAAAATTTTGGTTTGCCTCATCCAAATATGCTTCGAGTATTTGATTTGGGCTATTTTAGGCTTTGATTGAGTCAACTTTGTTGTTGTTGGGTTCATATTTATTAGGCATTCTGTTCTACTATAAGTTTGCTAAAATTGGAGTTCAGATAATCCCTGATTTAATTTTTAAAGTTTCCAACTTGATTTTTGCCTCGAGATTCGTGCCCAATCAAGATAATTTTTTGATGATATATTAGGGATATTTTAAACCTCTTAGGATTTTTTTCATAGAAATTAGAGCACTACTTTATCACTTGTGATTTTTCAAATCAAATACCTGTAAAATGATGATGGATTTAGTATTTCATA